GGGAAAAAATAAGAACCAAGATGCATCATGTACAGGTACAAGTTCCCAATGAGAAATGTAAATGTGTTGTATACCTAAAATGTACTGATAAAAGAATTTTTTTAAAAAAATATCTCATCTGTGGCTTATATCAAGCAGCCTTCAACGTGGCCTTCTGTGGCCTCCTCTTCTGGTAGGTATGCCCGTGGGTAGTAGCCTCCCCTCGACTGTAGGCAAAAGTGTCATCACATGGGAGATTAAATTAACCTTTAAAACTGTGGCTTCCCTTTGGGGCACTTTCACTCCCTCTGACTCTTTACTCTGTGGAAAACAAACTTCCTGTTGTAAGCAGTATTATGGAGAGCACCTGGTGCGGAAGCGATGATCCAGACAACAGCCAGCGAGCTGACTGGCCCCTGTCTGACTGGAGAGCTGAGGTACATGACTGCCACCTTCTGAGGGGTCCAGACAGAGGCGCCAAGCTGACTGTGCCCAGGTTCCAGAACCACACAGACTATTTGTATTTAGTATCTGTTGTTTTATGCCATGAAGTTTTTGTTTGTTACACAGCAACAAATAACTAATACATGGCTGGATTCATCAAGAGAAGGGCTTGCCCTCTTCAAGCTGAATGTTATTATTCACTTTGCTCTTTAGTTATTAGGGTGTAAGTACTGATGGCACAAATGAAAGTAAATTTGCATAGTAGTTCTTGATGATGACTTGGAAATGGAACCACATCATAATCAGGAAATGAGAGGAGCCTAGAGACATCTTCTCAGGTAAGAGTGAATGAGTGGTTTCTTGAGAGGCATGGTTTGAGAAGGGAAGAACAGGAACTATTGGGGAGGGACTAGGGTTTTATTATTCCTTCATGTCAAGTTTCCTTGATTCAAGACCAAACAAATGTTCTTGGCAAACCATTTCAAGCTGGAGGATGGGTGAGAGTACATGAGGACCTGAAGGAATAAGACGCCTGCATCGGAGGCAGAGCTTTGCTGCATAAATATAGTGGTGTACAGTGGAAGAAAAAGAGTAGAATCAAGAATAGCCTCACAACACTGCCGAACCGGGTAGGAGTGAAGTTTTAATGAACTACTCTATGTAGAGATGTATCTTACCTGCTATCTTAAGAACTCTAACCAGAGAGACCAATTAATAGGCATTTTCCAAAAGCTCTGTTTTAAATGACCAGAGAAATGTCAAGGCTGAAAACCATCTGATGCTCACGAGTCCCATGGCTTGCATCTGTGTGGTAGATTGGTACATCTGATTGGCCAATCACCACCTGGACTGGCTGTTAAATATCTTTGATATCACTCTTGTACATAGTCCGCTTAGATGAAGTTTGGGGGTTTTTTAGCCCCATGTTGTTTGTGAGTCAAGTTGGACTGTAGGAGGTAGAAGATCTCTTGTATCTTATTCATGCCCAAGCAAGTACATGGCAGTGAGGAAGAGATGTAAATGAAGGCTTGGGATAAACCTTGTGTGTTCTTCTGAAACATCAGTTTTGCTCCCTAGTATTACTTAGAGACATTTTCACATCAAAGCAAACACAAATGTATTTTGGAGTAAAATGCAAAAATCACATGAATTTTAAGAGGAAGGATTTTCAAGGAATTCTGTTTTTGGTGGGCTGCCTTTGCATTAACTAAACTTTCATTCGTACTTACACTATTGTAGGTATCACAATAGAAAATTGTGCGGGGCACACCTTCATGATTTTAGGGTTGCTTTTTCTACTGTTGATCTCCAAAGTCAGTCTTTATGTTCTTTGGCACACTATCAAGACCCAGAAGGGAAAATTCTAAGTGAGAGAAACTCTTAAGAATTTATTTCTAGCTTCCCTTCTCTTCTGTCGTTACCTTGAATTTATAACAAACTCAAAGGCTGACAGTTTATATCATGGTTATCTCCATCAAAATGCATTTATTTCACTTTGTGTTGAAAATAATTATGTGTTGAAAGTACCTTTAAATTATTGCATTGAAAGTATCTTTTGTATTATTTATTTTGTTAACATTGCATATTATTTTAATGTTTTTCTTTCCTAGTTGTTGAAAACTCATGTTTATCTACTTTCTCTCTTAAAGAGCACTTTAGGAAGGATTACTTTGCTTATAAAGATATTTTTCACAGGGCCAGGGATTTAGCTCAGTGCTTCCGCTGCCTGCCCTGCAACCCCAAGGTCCCAAGTTTGATCTCCAGTACCAGAAAAAAAAAAAAAAAACCTCAGATATTTTTCACAACTCTTTTTCATTTGTAAATTAAAGAGTTTGTGCAGAGATTATAATGGCATCATTTCTTTTTTCCCTTTATGTCAAATCATCACAGTGCAGATACATCATTGTATGTGAAGATGCCAAACTGATCCACATTCGTTTGCAAATGTAAGGATCCTATCTCTATAGTAACGCAGAACAAACATGAAAGGAGGTTCTAACTGATAATTGTACAGCCTAGGAAGCATATGACAAGTGGCATGGGCCTTGTGACAGTTCTACCTCCACCCAGCTGTCTGTCCTTGGATACATCAAAACCTCAGTTTCCTCATGAACAAGGAGGATAAACCCCATATGGTTTAAAGGTTCTAAAATTTTAAGCATTTGAAACTAAAGCAGATTTTATTTTCTAAAATTTGGGTGATGAATTAAAAGTGTTTCTAGAAAGGCTTTGTAGTTGATTTGTGGAGTGGAATTACCACTAAATATCGGTTTTGCCTAATGACTCTGCTGTATAATTTGATGGTGGTTATTGCTTACTTTATACATATAGACACTATTTCTGTTTAAGTCTCTGCATTTTTCTGTTTTGCTCCCGCATGCACATGCGCGCGCGCGCGCGCGCGCGCGCGTGTGTGTGTGTGTGTGTGTGTGTATGTCTGTGTGGGTCTTTGTTTGTGTTACTGGAGATAGAAGCCAGGACCTTCGCACTGAGCCCAGCCCTGGTTCCTTTGAATTTTTTTATTTTGACACAGGGTCTCACTAAATTGCAAGGTCCTACCTCAACCTACCTAATTAGGTCCTACCTAATCCTCCTACCACAACCTCCCAGATCACTGGAAACCCCAGCTTTTAAAAATGAAGTAAGAGGCCGGGGATTTAGCTCAGTGGTTTCACCACCTGCTGTGCAAGCGCAAGGACCCGAGTTCGATCCCTGGTACCAAAAAAACCCCAGCTGGATTCTAAACATGAAGTAAGACTGGGCCAGGGATTTAGCTCAGTGGCATGGAGCCTGCCTCACAAGAGGTCCTGAGTTCGATCTCCGGTACCAGAAAAAATAAAAATAAAAGTGAAGCAAAATTGGTATCATTACAAACCTTTGATATTCAAATACTGATTGATTTTAATATAGAAAACTGATTATGGACCAACACTCTGCTAGCCACAGAGGAAACAAATATGAAAAACTGAGTCCTTCTCTGCCATCCATATGTTCACAAGGCTCCTATCCTCATCTAGGAGCCAAGAATGCCGAGGTCCTTGAATCAGATAAGATTCAGATTATCAGTCCTGGAGGCTTCCTAGGCGTATCTGAGGAGGGCAGTTCTTCCCAACCTCGGAAAGCTGCGAACCACAAGAATATCAAATGACTGTTGTTTGTGTTGACAAAGCCTTTTCACAAATTTCTCACCCATAAATACATTACCAAATAATATTTAGTGAAATGTAAAAGGACTTGAGTGACAGACATTTTGAAATTAAAACCACAATGATTAGCATAAGAAGGCTTACTTTCAGTGCTGCCTTCATTTGCATGGTAGTTATTTCGGGAGATTAGAAAATTACATATGTGTAGTTTTTTAAATAGAACACTTTTCTACTTATGCACTCAAATAGGTTCAGTGCTTGAAATCCTGTAACTTCTTTTAATCTGAAATGGCTTTATGTGCACGATCTGCTTGAGCTGGCAAGAGTGTTGCAGCAAAGCAGCGTTTCTCCGTGTTTGCATTGTTTCCTGTGAGAACCTGCTGTGAGCATCGCTGCAGGCTGTCGCTCTTGTCTGCCCTCTGCGGCCCAATCACTGCGTTCTAGACTCAGTGTCAGTCCCAAGGGGAGGGGAAATCTGCAGCTGAGCCAGACGGGTTTGTTACTCTTTTAAAATTAAAAGCATATGAAACAGATACAGCTTATTATGGTTGTTTTTTTATAAATAACATAAACTTAAATAACAAAACAATAAAGTTCAAATACAACTTAAAATAGAGTTTAATGCTGTAACCACAGAGAAAAAGCATGATTATTTGTGGGAAGAACATTATTAAAAGCCAAGTTCCCAAATATGAATTATACAAAAGATAGATTGTTACTTGAAAAAACTTAAAGATTTCTGAATTTTACTCTTAGGGATTATAAAATGTTATTTTGTGGCAAGTGAGATGAAGTACAGTATTATCATCATTACTGCTATTTTATATACAAGATTTTTGAAAACACCCTTTAAAAGACACCTTTCAATTTGAGCAGCATCAGAAATTTTGTTCTTCTCAATAGATACACATATGCCCTCAGCCTATAATTTTGTAAAATTACCTGTTTGATTCAGTTCAATCGTAGAATTTTTGAGAATAGTACTTTGTTTTCTGAGTAGAGCCTAAGTTTCCGATTGTCATAATTTTCACTGGAAAGTACTTGAAATACTGCTCAGCTTTTATAGTTGATGTTGGCTTGGTTATCTGCCAAGTCTTTCCAGCAGCCTTCAGGTCTGATGTCTCTCATAGAACGTCATCCGCATCATTACCATTATGATAGCAGCCATTTTATAAGCAGATAGGCATATTTAAATAATCATCAGATAATCGAATCTAACATACTCTAAAGGTAAATTAATTTAAGAAAAAAAACATTACTATTACTAACACCACGATTGTACAACCAGTTTTACAATTTTTTACAACTTTTAGTTACTAAATCTGATTTTTGTGTATATTTTTCAAATCTTACTTTAATGCAGTCTCTTAAAATAAACATAAATGCGCAAGTCCAGCTTGATCAGTTTTTCAGTAGTTTTCCAGCCTTTCTTGGTTACTAAAAAAAGAGAAATAAAGAAAAGAAAAAAAAGAAAGAAAACAGTCCACTTAAAGAAATCTCCCTGCTGGAACTGGTTTCTTATATACCATACATGATTAGGTTATTGACATAGGAAGAAAGTGGGCTGTTTTTTGTTCTTTCTTCGTTTTCTTCCCTTTTACAGGAACCCCCCTGTGACTTAAAGCGACAAACATCTCTCCTCCACTGTGTGTCCATTTAGCTGATGCGTATGTGTTGTAATGGTTTTCCAGAATTAATTCTTTGAAGTTGCAGTCTTCATTGCATTCTTTCTGTTAAAACAACAACAACGTGAGTTCTAGGCGGACTCAGTTAAACAACGAATAAGCAGGTAATATTCGGTAGAGGCAATGCATATATGACTTTTTAAACCATAGATCAAGCAGGCCTAATACAGTTTACTAGCTGTGTCTACGTAGGTTTTCTCTTCTGTCCAAACAAGATATCTTAAATTTAAAACAAAGTAAAAAGCTCATATATAGATTTATGCAACATGATTTTTAAATGTCACTTTTAGCAGTCAGTTTCAGCTGTTCTCTAGTTTTAGGACCCAGCTCCCCTAACTTCTCTGATGGCTCTCCTATTGCCACACCAGGGCCACTCATTCTCTAGCTCCTGGAAATTTGGTGTAGGACCTCTGTCTCCCTCACATGAGGGACCTATTTCACAGACTGTTCTTTGTTTACTGCCACCTTGCCTTCAGTAGGAACAGAAAATTAGAAGTTATATATTCATTTATGCAATTCATTCGTTCATTCATTCAAACTATATTCTTATTATTCATTCATTCATTCATTCAAACTATATTCTTATTAATTTGCTTTTGCCAGGCACTGTACTGAACAGAAAATTAGAAGTTAATTTATTTATGCATCTATGCAATTCAGTTCCTTCAACCTATATTCTTATATAATTAGTTTGTGCCACGCAATGTGCTGAGCTCTGCATAGGAAAGTCAATGGTACTTTACTACATGGGTTGAGCTGTTACATATTTCACATTGTAATAAAGTGGGAATAATGTGAATGCTTATACTTCAAAGCCCATGATTGTGAGACTGATGTTGGTAAATGAACTGAATACTTCAGGGGCTTTTGTCCCCCAAGAATTTTCATGTCAGCACTGTGTAAATTGGGTGAGCTTTAACAAAAAGAGCTTTAATACTGACTGAAATTTTAGATATCGAGTATCTACAGTGCACATGGAAGTTTGGAGCTAAAAGGACCCTTAGAATTCAGTTATTCTCACTCATTTCACAGATGAAGAAACCAAAGTTCAGCTAGCTCAAGCAATTTCCCCAAGGTCACTCAGAAAACATTTTTTCTTAATGCTTATAAAAGAGATGTTTCAATGAAATCATCAAATATTACCATTAGAGAGAAATTAATTCCATTTTTACTCTTCAGAAAGGCAAGTTGTTTTAAGAAAAATAAATTTGAAAAATTAAGTCTCCACTATGAATTATTAATACCTTTGCATAGAGCTTTCCTTCCTTGTTCATTGCAAGATAATATTCACTTTCCACCCCTTTGATTGCCACAATTCCAACTGCCACTGTCCTGATTTCCATGATATCTGCAAGGAATCACAGAAAGATACACCAATTATTCACTCACTTTGCAGATTGTCCAACAAAGGCCATTTGTTGTTAGTTCTGTTTTACCTGGAAGTCATTCAGATTGTTAAATGTGCTTATTAACTCGGCTTGAGGCCCCCTCCCCTAACACAACATCAGAGCAATCATTAAAGATGGAAAGTGAGAATGATAAGCTTTCATTGTGTGGAAAGGAGATCTATACTCAGAGAAATGGACCTTCAGATTCATTCCTTGGAACTATATTTTAATGCATTATAATAACAATAAAGACTAATGTTTACTAGACTCGTGCCACATGCCAAGGGATTGTTCCAGTACTATTATGTATTTTTGGAGGGGAGGGGGATGTTGGCCCCATTTATTTCAAATCAAATAACTTGTTTGAGAGCTCTGAGAAACTAAAATGTCAATGTTTTTCAAATCCACTTCTATTTAGTTGATCTCTAATAATCTTACCGCAGTAAAATTTTATGAAGCCAGCAGTTTCCTTTCCTTCAAATCCCTTTACTCCCATCATTCCTCCCTTTATTCAATATTGAGTTCTCTTTTAGATAGAAAGGAGAATGTTTATGCAAAGGCTTAGGGTGTCTTTTATGATCAGATCCAGAAAATAGAATCTGTAATGTTGCCTGGCTTTTGTTTTGCAGAACATTGTCCACAAAGCATAACTGTTGAACAAGAGCTACCATTAACTGTGACATGTGGCCCCCTCCCTTAGATCTAGTCCTGACAACATGTTCATATTGTTCTACCCCCAAAAGCTTTTCCTCTGTCCTTGGCCTGTCCACTGTCTACTAATTCTTCCCTCTACTTTGACACTCAAGAGGTCCTAAACATTGTTAATCTTATCCCTCTACATTATGGTTAAGGATACTAAAAATCTTTGTCACGATTCTACCTTTAACTGAGATGGAATAGACTGGAGATGGTTAGGTTCCTATATTCTTAATTGCCTGTCAGAGTTTTTAGAAATTCTTTCACACTGGGAGTTCAGCATGCCTACAAGTTGATTGCTTGGGAGAGCGTGAAGCAGTTGGTGGAATCAATACCCCTTGAACCCTGATTTTCTGGTCTGTTTGATCCCATGTTCTATGTCATATTTTAATCAAGAAAAGCCAGGGGAGGTGGAATTAATGTTACCACTTTTTTGTTCAGGTGCAGAGTGGGAATTGATGCTCCTTTCAGTATCCACAAACATCAATGGAAGTATTAACCATGTAAACTGATGGCATCAGGATTTGCCCAGGAGACACAATACAGGAAGCTGTAACATGCACACATGAAGTTGGCTACAACATAAGTTAATTATACTGTACTTGGTGCTGTCTCCTATAAGACAGATTTTAAGAGCTCAACTTGTGCTGTGAATCTCCATTTCTATTTAAGAGACATTTATTCAAATAAAGAGCACTCATAGTGGATTTATTCCCAGTTAAGTCAGGCACGTTATGTAGATGCATCAAATTGTTAATATAATGACTGTGGTAACATTATGGGTAATGGGAAAGGGGAGGGAGGGGAGAGAGAGACAGACAGAGACAGATACAGCCCATACAACTGAGCATGAAAAGGGACAATATGTACAGCAGTTTGACTCCTTAGCCTTATCGGCAATACTGTCAACAATACCATAAATTCACTATTTGGGATGTCACTCTTACAAACTACATGATATACCTTAAATGGCCTCCCTGTTTATTTCCTGTTGTTCGATCATTCATTCATTTATCTAAGTGTGTTTATTTAAACCCATACCCCCTTTGGAATGAGAAATAAGGAACTTTGGGATAAGTTGCTATTGCTTTTTAAAAAAATTTTCCAACATCTACTCCCAGAATTTTAGGTCTTCCCCTAAGCTTGTACTTTGGAAATTGATGCTAATTCTTTGTTTTTATGACCAATAGCTTTATGATTTGAAAGTGCTTTAACTTTCCTGTTTGAAAAAATTTTAGTGGCTTGTTACACAGAAATCTACCTTCCTATTTTAGCATAGTGAATATTTCTTTTCTCTGAAGCTTTCAAGTTTTATATTAAAAGTTTAGGGGAGCATATATGTGTTAAATAACTAAATATTGTTTTGAAGTTGAAAAAGGGGAACATAATTGTTTAATGATTAAGCTAATTAAAACATTTAATTTTGGCCAAATATACTTTCTTGGGCACATTAAAAATAGGAACTGGTTTGAAATTAATATGAAAAAATGGAAACAAAGTCTTTGTAAATAGGGAGGGATGGAGGGGTTGAAGGAAGGGTAGGGGAAGGGGGAAAAATAAGAACCAAGACAGATTATGTAAAGGTGCAAATTTCCAATGATGAATGTCATTATATTGTATACCTAAAATGTACCAATAAA